TTAATTTTTATTAAATTCTCCATGATTAAGTCAACTCTCTGAAATTTTCTCGGATTTTTCAGCTCTCAATTCCTAAATGATACAAAGAACAGTTCAGTAATTATTTGATCAATAATGATCTAATTATAATTGTTAAGAGCTTTTCTTGTTTAAAATCCTTAAATTATAAATTGTTGTTTAAAAGGAATTATTAGAAATGATTTTAAAAGCCTAAAAGAGAAGATCTAATTTTAATTTGTTAAATCTCAATATAAAATGGGGCCAGATAAAATTTCATTAAATACTTTGCTTAATTCTATAATTCCTAGATTTTTCTGGGATTTATTTGAGCTAAGGAAGTATTTTTAATCAATGGAATTGCATTTCATGAATAATTTTAATTGAAAAAGGTTTTAAAAGTCTTCTTTTGGCTTTGGGCCGAAAGCCGGCCCAAAACCTCTCTCTTTCCTTTTCTTCCTCCCCGGCCAGTCGGCCCAAGTCGGCCCAGTCCGCGCCGCCGCTCTCTTCTCTCTCTCAGTCGCTGACAGGTAGGGCCCATCTGTCGGAGCCGTCTTCCTCGCGCCGCCGCCGCCGCCCGAAACCCTAGCCGAGCGCCGCCGCCGTCTCCTTCCAAAATTCGGTCGACCCTTTCCTTCTCCGGCCGAATTGATAGAGGGGAAACGATCCTCTCGATCTCCTCTTCCTTTTCTCTTTTGGAAGCATCGGCTAATTCGGTTTGGAAACTCGTGGATTCGAAGTCGAATCGGATCCATCTCTCTCCTCCGAACCCCGTTCTTTCCTTTCCGTCGCCGGCAGCCGTGGGCCTTCGCCGTCACCCTCCAACCCCTTTAAAAGGACCCCCGAGCTCTCCTCTACCCGCCGCCACCTTCGCCTTCGCCTCTCGTCGCCCGTAGCGCTCTAGCGCCGTGTGCCCTAGCACCGCCGTCGCCGCCGTCGCTCCAGCCGTGCGCCGCCGCCGTTCCAGTCATCGTCGTCGCTCGGGGAGATCGCCGTCGTGGTCGCCAAGTCGCCGCCGTCCTCGTCCGCCTCTTCGTCGCCGCCGAAGACCGCCGGAGCACCGTCGCCGCCGTCGACCCGATCTCCGCCGCCGCTTCTTCCTCGTCGCCAGCGTCGTCCGTTGCTTCTCCGCCGCTTCTTTGGTTACCGGTGAGTTCGCCGCGTCGCCCTCTACCCGTTGGTGCCCTCCGTTCGCGTCGCCGCGCCGTCGTTCGCCGGCGAGCATGCGCGTCCGAGCCGCCGCCGCCGGTGGTGACGTCATCGCCGACGTCATCGTCCCCATCTCCCGTGAGCCGGTCGTGGACCGTTCGATCTCGGCCGTCCGTTTTGGATAGGATCGATCTCGGCCGTCCGTTCCCGTGAACCGCTGCCGTGCACCCGGTCCACCGCAAACCCTAGCCGCTGACGCAATAATCCTCCTTTTCCTTTTCAAAAATAATTCATTATTGCGTCATAATTCAATTAAAATCCATATAAGTGTTTTAATCCGATTTAATCTTTAAAAATTCATAACTAATTCATCTTAGCTCAGTTTAATGTGGTTCAAGTTGCAAAAATTATATAAAATAAAGATCTACATATTAAAATTGTCCATAAATTGAATTAAATTTATTTAATTCTTTTTAAATGGGCTTTAATTAGATTTAATCTTGTAAAATTCATAATAAATTCATTTGAAGTCAGAATGAGGCCGTTCAAGTCTCATAATTCATCTAAAATTATGATCTACATGTTTGTTTACTTTTTATGTATTGTTTATTTGATTTTTATTAGTCTTTTTCTTCGTTTTGCGTGTTAGCTTGTCGTTTCCGTCGTTGCGAAGGTTCGCGAGTGCGTCGGAAGTATTCAAGAAGATTAATTGAAGACCGATTATTGCAAGGCAAGTCACACAGATCCTAAACACAATCCTTTGAGCATGTTGATCCTATATTTAAATTCTCTATTTATTTCAACTGTGCATTTATTTTCAAATGTCACTGGGTGGTGTGAATCTATTCCTTTGTTATGGCCTGTTTGCATTGATTACTTTAATCCTTGATACCTTGGGTTATTATAATTTGACTAGTTGAGCTTTATATATTGGTTCAGCTAGATATTAGATGTGATTGCTTAGCCATGCTTAGAAACATTAGCACACTATTGGGATAACATATGATTCATTATTATTTAATGATGGTTTAATGATGGTTCACGATGGTTAATCGTGATCGGTTAATTAATTACTTGCCAACTAAAACTTGATAATGGTGGGTTGTGAGCACATGGTTTTGAGAGTCGTGCTCATGACAATTAAGGACCGGTTCGCGAGCTACTATTGTGAAACATTAACCGTGCCAACCACAAGCCAGCGTGGGCAACGGCTTTACCTTTTGTATAACATGATTCATTGCGGAGCACCAGACTGAGAAGTGGCGGAGATAAGCCCACGGGGGTCACTGGGGAGTCCATGCCTTGTTTTATAAGGGGGTGATTATGATCCAGGAATGGTGCACTGTGGTGAGTTGTGTTATGCAGAGGGTATTGTCACAGCCTCTATTCGGGTACTTTCCAGTATCGCGACGCATGGTAGACATGATGTTGAGGCTGTGTCTTGTGGGTACAGTGGTACACCTCTGGCCAGAGTAAAACTATTCGAATAGCCGTGCCCGCGGTTATGGGCGAGTTGAGCAATGTTTTTCGTGATTAGTCCCACACCTCCCACAATAATTATGGATGTTATACCTGGTAATAATTTGCTTAGCTCCTGGTTTGGAGTTAGATCTGTACAGCCGGGTATGGTTGTTCAGGATGGTTGGGCCTGTGCAGCATGGGTGTGCTGTTCAGTGTTGATTAAAATTTCTGATTAACTACTCCACTGTTTTATTTCACTTAAATGTTTTGCTAAATGCTGCTTTTGCAAATGAGGCTATATTATGCCATCCTTTGGTATCCTTGTGCACTTGCATATTTGCTGTGTGGCTTGCTGAGTATGTCATATGCTCACCTTGCAATAATCAATCAACCTCAGTTGAAGAAAAAGGATCCAGAAGGAGAAGACGTTTGGCTTATACCCCAGTTGAGCTGCCTGTGGGAGTGGAGCCGGAGCTTCGCTAGAATTTATTTTCCGCTGCAATTTTCTTCCTGGTGAGGACTAAGTGCCTCATAAGTAAGTATTTATCGTTTTAGTTAATTTGATGAATCTGTATATTAAATTGTCAGTTTGTGTACCTCGGCTGATTCCTGGACGAGGATTTTATGCACAAATAAGTTCGGAAATTACTAGTGAATTTCCGGACGTGACAAGTTTTCTTTGCAACTGCTTGAATGAAAAGACGACGATATCGATGGATATTAGATCCAACGCTTGGCATAAGAATCCATGCGACGCGGTAAGGTCCCAAAGGTAGGGCGATATCGATGAGGAGTTCAGGAGCGGCGCATGGCGCACAAATCCATTTGGCGCAGTAGGGTTTCACGGGTCGAGATAGAATGGAGGATAATTGAACTTGTGTATGACAAATAAATTCGCCGAACAATTTTAGGGTTTTGAGCGAGTGGCCAAACTCGGTAATTTTGAGCAGAAGGGATAGGGAAGAAATGAATTCGGGGAGAGCCGAGTCGAATAGACGAGATGGCTCAGGTTCAACTCTAGTGTTCAATCGGTCTGAGGAAAAGAAGATGTTATGACAAATGAAAGGCTTTCGGAGATTCGATTAGCTTCACCGAAACGCTTAACAAATCAGTCGGAGAGGAAAGACGACAAGGAAGGATGTCGATTGGAGAACATCCTTTAGGTGGATCGGTTTAATCGCGGTATTCCAACGATTCAAGGAAATGATGGGGTATTGCAATTGTACATGAGAGTTGAGAGGACAGAGAAGGGATTTTACCCTGACGGGCGATTCTGGAAGAACTATTGAGTTCGAGTAATTCCAGACGCTAGAACAATCGGTTCGGGAGGATCCGATTGAGAAGGAGGATCGAACTATGGAATTTGATTCCGGAGGAAAGGTACGACAAGGATTTGAATTCACAAGGATGAATTAACCGAGATCCTTGGCATAAACAATTAAATGCACACAAATAACACAAATCCCATTGTGCAGGTCGGCTAGGCCTTTCAAGGAGGAAAACTAGACTTTTCCGTGAATTCTTTTGAAATAAACTCTTTTTAGATTTTAGTTCGTAAATAGAGTTTTGCTAGTAAATTCCTTCTAGTATTTATTTGTAAAATAATTGCCAAACACTTATAGTTTCAAAATAGGGTTTTCAGAAGTTAACTAATATTAGCCCGCATTTGTAAAAATAGTTTTCTCAGAGAAATATCTCTCAAAGTATGTTTTCTAAATATTTAGTATTTGTTTTTATTTATGAAACAAATACCCCAAATAGGTTTTACTTCATAGAATGGGTTTTCAGAAAGACAAATGGCATTTGCAAACATTTTCTAAATTAATATATTTCATAATCATGGTTCTTTTAGCAAATAATATTTGAATCAAAAATAGATTTTGTTTCTAGATTTCCGTCCTCGTGGTCCAAGCGTAACCCAAAAATGGGAGATAGAATCCAATTAAGACCAGCATGATGGATTTTGGAAAAGATTTTTGATTAACACGAAATTTTGATTTCGCAAATCAGGACAGAAATTTTCAGGGTGTTACATAGATCAACTGAATTCCTTATGATTAAGATAACCTTCCCATTTACTTTAGGATATATCGTATTTGCGTACTATATAATATAACCCAGGATATAAGGTACTTCCTCCGTTTCACAATGTAAGTCATTTTAGCATTTCTCACATTTACATTGATGCTAATGAATTTAGATATATCTCTAGATTCATTAGCATCAATATAAATGTGGAAAATGCTAAAATGACTTATATTGTGAAACGGAGGGAGTATGATTCATTCATAACCTGACAATTACTCCGTGTAATCTCCCTCTAAAATTTATTTTTGGGAATAATATAGGACTGTTTGGTGATGCTCTTAGCGATCTCGTGGCAAGTGTCCAAGTGACACCCATTTGCCGGTGGCGCGCCTTTGGGCCCATGGCCATGGCGCACATGCTTGGATGGGCCGGCCCGTCGCTCCACGCCTCGGATCACCACTGTCTTCGCCCGCGGCGGCGCACGCCGCCGCCGGAGCCCCTGCCCCCTCTCGGGCGGCGCGGCGGGGACCGGGGCTCACCGCGGCCATGCGCTGTTCTTGCTATCCCTCTCGTCAGTTTGTGCCCTCACCCTGATGATTTCCGTTTCACTAGCCTTGCACTTCTTGTCTTCTTCCACTCAACAGGTTGGCGCTAGGTTTTGCCGATTGGGGATGAACTCGTGACGAAATTGCAATGTGGGGCTCTCTCTCGGTAATGGATTGGAGGTAATAGTCTGGGGCTTTTTTTTTTCTCCATGGGTTGCTGGTAAATGTAATCTTTAAACTATCGGTGAGAGGCTATCCAACAAAGATAAACTAATGCATCCAAGGGTTCGGTTTGCTTGATCATCAGTTCCATTTTGTAACCATGCACTTTTTAAAATCTGTACTCCAATGCTAGCTCTGAACTTTTTTTTTTCTTTACAAAAATACCACGGAGCATGTTCTTTACTGGTGTACTGCTGCTGTCCATGTTTTGCTCATGGTGAGCTTTTGTAATTCTGCTACATGCTATTGGAAACATGGGAGATGAAATTTGTAGATACACAGGGCATATACGGGTTATCAGTGACTCCTTAACAAGGGCTGTATGGGCTATGAAATGCGCACTGTCTTCTTTTTTTCGGCATGAAGTTTCTAACTTCTTAGCAAATGGGAAAGAAGATGATGAACCAAAGGTAAAGAGGTGGGACAAGAGTCTTCATGGTGAGTGAAACTATATAAGGGAAAATTTACATATGGTGAGTTAAACTATACAAGGGAAAAATTATATGCTAGCGTAGGAATACCTCATCGGCTTGGTCATGCAGAAGAAAACAAATTTACAACAGTTTGGTGAGATTTTAATTGGGAACTACAAGTATTGGAGTGCAGATATCACCTAAGTATACCAAAGCAAAAATCCGTCCCAGTTGACGAGTGTCCGTTCTTGAAAGCCTTTCTCCTTACTCACTTCTGCCTTTGTCACCCTCCTGACCTTTTATTTAGTACACTGACCCCTTCGAAATTGTAAAAAGAACCCCTTTCTTCCTTAAGAACCCCTTTCTTCCTTTCAGAAACTATAATAATTGCAATATGTGTTGTGTAGAGTGTAGACCTATAACTAAAAATATAAGAGTAGTTTACACTACATCCCCCAAAAGCTCTACAACAAAGCTTTATGAGAAAGCGTTATTTCTGGGATATACTGTACCCAGGAAAATGATTTACTTTTGGCTACCATCAATATTTTTATCTTTTTTTATGCTTTCCTTTGTTCTAGTTTTGCATATAATATGCTTGCAAAGATTTCTTATCCCATACAACTATAAATGCCAATATAAAATAATACAATTATCTTTATGTTCTAAACAAGTAGTAACTATGATAAGCAATATGGCATGACAACATTTATGCTTAGCCTATCACCATTCCGTTCCCATTCGATTTTAGAAATTAATTAAAGTTGGCAGTGAAGTGGCATGACAGCTGGCATCTAGCAAGTCACCTCACATTCTCCTGCCTCGTATGCCCGTCCAGATGGATGGACAAGTGCCCGCAAGAATGCAAGCCTAAGGAGCGCATCCTGCCACGTGTTTCCTTCCCCGTATTTCCGCAGAAAAAACAGTTTCTTTTACACCCTATTTAAACTATTCTCTGGAGTCCAGACCTTGCATTCCCTGCTAATGGAGTGGTCTTAGAATTTCAAGAAAAAATAGGAACTAAGGGGATAGAAGCCTTTCCACTTCTCATCTCTGGCCATCTCTGTTGAAGTAAAGAGGTACCTTCTTGTTTCAATCTCTTATTTGGTTTGTGATGATACTTTTAGTTGGTGTTTGGTTCTTAGGAACTGATGGGGATGGGATAGATCTGTTTCAGGGAAAGGGGTTATCCCTGGACGAAAGGTCTATCCGCCACGCTACTCATTTGGGATCTTTTTTTTTTTGTTTCTGTGTGTTTAGCAGATCCATTTATTGTTTGATGTTCAATAATCTAGTTTCATAAATCGATTTGATATGCTCTGTACACAATTGCAAAATCGATTGAAGCGGGTATTTGGGACATAAACATTGCAGTTTCTTATGACAAGGCCTGATATAACGTCATCGATGACTAGGGTCAATACCTTCGTGCTTGAGCTACGCCAGCGCTGTTCCCCCTTAGTTGCTCCATGGATAGCCTTTTGAACCACATAGGAAGGATTTTAAGGATGGGGGTGTATAGATGTAGAACTAAGAACAAGGAAAACTGGTACAAACCTAAAATACTCAAGATCTATGATCTGATGACTAGGGTTTCCCATATGCCTTGTTCAGTTAATCCCTCCCACAAGGTGATTGAAGGGGATTTGTATCCCTCCCATAATGGGATTGAGGGGGATTTGTTCCACACCTATTGTGGTGTGGAATTATTCCCCCTCAATCCCCTCCAATCCCTCCCTCTTGGGGATTAACCGAATAAGATCTTAGTAAGTGGGGGAAGAGAGGTCACCATACCCTGGCAACAACCCCAGTTACTGTGGATAACCGCGGTAAACGTGAAAAACAGGAAAAAAAATACCAAAAAAAAATAATTTTTGTTTAAATATTTTTGAACTTGGTGGGGTTATTGGGCCCTTACCGTTACCGGACCCTGGCGGTCAGGGAAACCATGGGATCCGCTCTGTTATTGGTTGTTGCCCCTTGCTGGCTACGGTGCTCTGCGTTAGTTCCCTGTGAGACCTTTGATCTCGACACCAAGTCCTCATGGTCTCGTGCAGCAGAGTCATGCTGAATCGGTCGATAGATGCAGTCATGAAGAGAGTAGATAGAAAGAGAGCATGGGGGGAGGGGATTAGCTAGGCCATATACTGTTGAACACTAGGGGAATTGGAGTTCGCCCTAGGAGATTGATAAATTGGTCCATCCTTCCCGACTGCACAAGTGCATTACCTGATGGGAATTGGAGAATACGATTTGAGATGGATATATACTATACCTAGTCTTCTGTCGAAAATATTGGGGGTGCAGTACTACATAGCTCTGCCCCTGCTACCAAATATATTGACACTGACTTTTTGTGAAACCAATGATGATGGTGGAAATACTGCCGATGACTCCTAAACAGCATCAAACACTAAATCTCTCTTGTAGAACAAGGTGATGCGATTGTGTCTTGCAGGTAGGTAGGAGGAATATAGAATAATTGGCGAAGGATTGTAGTGGGTCTACCTAAGGATTTAATTCTGGAAAACCATCTGGTAGGATCCGAAAGAGGAACACCTAGACCTTCTTCTGAGCAAAGTTTTCCATGACCAACCCATTCTGTGGATTATGTGGCAATCGGTACCATCGTTGAAGTTGATGATGTTGCTAGCCATCACACATGCCAGTCTGAGATGCCCAGAGGGTTTGACCTAGACTTTGTCGAGAAATTGAATCTTCTCTCATACCATGCGAGTGAGCCTCAGTGGACAAAAGTTTGCTCTTTATCCTGTTGTTCAGGATCTCGCAAATAGCCCCAGTGATAAGGTCAGCTAGGCAGATTTCAGGGGGCCTATCTCCTGTTATGAAACCTGACTTTGAGGTGTAGAGAACCATAAAGAGCTATGTTATATATGATTTCTTAATAAATAAGTCAGTAGTGTAGTATCATCAATGTGATATCTAAGACAGCATTATATGTGCTTATGAATAAGTTACAGCATACTAAACTCTGAAAATTTCTGCTTGCACACTGCATTTACTTAGCTGGTCATGGTGCAATGGTGTTAAGTGATCATATCCATTACATTCAGTCATTGGCTTAATTGTATGAAATAGATCATTGATGAAAAGATCGCTAGTGTTTGTTTTTTAATTGTGCAAAAGTTTACATACAACTATCTGATGCAAATGTTTTTTTTTCTCACAAAAAGAAGAATTTCCACCGTTATGCATCCTAAATTCTCTAATATTTTTATCTTGCAATTAATTAGACATACTTCTCTAACATCCGTTTTTGATTTTCAGAAGTGATGAACGGCGAGCTTAAACTTATGGCTTCCTATGTGAGCAAGCTTAAGTTCATCTTGCAAAAAGATCAGCAGCAGGAGCCCCATACTGCGAACCTTCTAGTCCTACTTGGGAGTAGCAATCAGGACAAAAGAAATGGCCTCTCACAGGGAGAAAACAGAATGGACACTTGTACCAGAAAGAAGCCAAGAAGATACCAACTCCTCACCATGCAACAAAAAGAAACGCTTAATCGGTACGCAGTGCAGTTAGCAAAATCAGCCTGTTATGTACTGTCTCAAAATATAAGAGACGTGATTTAATATAATTAGTTTGTTTGCTGTTTCGTCCCAGTGCATTTCAATCATGTCCGAACCCTGATAGAAATGACTTGAAGAAGTTGGCCAAGGAACTAAACATGACTGAGACCCAAATCAAATATTGGTTCCAGAACTGCAGGACAAAGATGAAGGTATATTGTGTATAAACTTCTCTGTTTTCAAAATAAATTGCTCCCTGAGTAAATCATTTATCTTCTTGATGTAGAAATTCAAGAACAATGAGGAGCGCAAACTACTGCAGAAGGAGAATGAGGAGCTAAAGAAGGAGAATGCAGAGTTGAGAAATAGGATGAAGAACTCAACATGCCGCGCTTGTGACCTCCCTTTGTTCCATATAGATTGCCGTCATTGGGAGAATCCAATGCTCAACAAGGGTAATCATGGCGTTACAAGTAATCTCATTCCTCAGGCAGTGTCATCCTTGCTCCCCAGCTCAAGTGGTTTTGTAGCTTCAGGCTCCAATCTTAGTAGCAATGCTGTGCTCATGCCCGTATCTGCCATGCCATCATCAGTTTTGCAGCCTGCTCCAGCCGTCTCTGGTGCCAATTTTCCCATCTTGCACAATCTATCTGCCAATGCAAATGATGGCTATACGGAAAAAAACGTACTTCTTGATCTGGCGAACCGTGCAATGGAAGAGTTCTTTAGTCTAATGAAGGAGAATGAGTCTCTTCTTGTCAAAAAAAAGGAGAATGGGCCTCTCTGGCTCCCACACATGGATATTCTGGGAGTCGAATCACTTAACTACCAGGAATACCTTGCAAAATCCAGGACGATTGGACAAAAACCTGTTGACTTCAAAGTGGTCGTCACCAGGGACACTGCCATTGTCAATGGTAGCTGTGTTGACCTCGTCAAAAGCCTTTTGGATGCTGTATGTATGCAACTACTATGTGCTGCATATTTAATTAGTATCATGGTTTGCCTGCATATCTTAAACATGTTCTTTATGCAGAACCGCTGGAGAGAGTTGTTTCCAGGCATCGTGGCAAGTGCAAACACCACCAAGATCATCTCTACTGGGCCCTCTAACTTGCACGACGGGTTGCTTCAATTGGTGGGTTACATATCATAATCTCTTCTGATGTGGTTATCCATATACTCGACTGCTTGCATGTGGTGGATTGATGTGCAGAAAAATTTGCAGATGCGTGCAGAGCTCCAGGTAATGTCACCTGAAGTCCCAGTTTGCGATGTGACATTCTTGAGGCAGAGTGTGCAGTTTGGAAGTGGACTGTGGTGTGTGGTTGATGTGTCTATTGATACCATCCTTCCTGGAGAGAGTAAAACAGCTCAGTCCAGTGTGCAGACCAGCAGTACAGCTGCCAGACGCATGGAAGTCAGGCTGTTGCCATCAGGCTGTGTTATTGAAGAAATGGAGAATGGCTATTCCAAGGTGCTTTGCTTCCTCATTGACTCAATCACTGGTACAAGGTGTTAATTATTGTTGGTTTCCTCAGTCACTGATGTGATGTATAGAAATTTGTGTTTGACAACTATTGAGGATGTTTAATTCTCAGGAACATATGAAATGAGAATCAGTCACATAACATGACAAAATGTAGCAGTAGTTTTGAACACTAGTATAGATACTAACGTTTGTCAGAGAACCCACTCTATTATCCCAGCATGTAAAGCATGTAATAAAATGACTAATATACCCACCTGCATTTGTGCTAGCCATACCATTGCATTGCAAAAGGAAGAGGAAACAGGCACACTAACCAACAAGTTTTCAGTAGAAAACAGAACAAAACTACATTCAAGCATCACTTAAAAACAACACTGTAGATATACTGACAAAGATGGCTGTAGTTTCCTGTTTTAGGGGTGCCTTACTAGATATGGTCTTGTTCTTGTAGAATGAAGTCACTACTATCGGTCTCTGGCCCTTGTTGAACATTGTACGAACACACTATCATGTCAAAAAATCTCTAAACTAAAGTACATTCATTTTTTTATTTTATTATTATTCTTGACGGGAAGTGCATTGAACTCATATTTCAAACAACAGAATCAGCTAACCTTTTTAGCATCATTTTTCGTGGGCAGGTGACCTGGATGGTGCATGCAGCTTATGATGAGAGAGCAGTGCCAGTGCTTTATCATTCACTTCTCCGCTCTGCAAAAGCCCTTGGTGCGTGCCGCTGGGTAGCATCACTCCAGAGACACAGCCAGTTCCTTTCCGGCCTGCACAAATACATCTTTTGTCCTGACAGCACAAGTGAGTGACCGACTGGTGCTATTATATATGCAAAAGAATTAACTAATCTGCACATATTGATATTAACAGTCAGTTAACACTATGCCACATCATGTTTTTTATATAAAATTTTCGATAGTGACAGAAGTGGTGATGCGAAGAAAAGTCCTGTACCTGGTGAAGCAGATGACGAGCAGCTTCACAGGCCTATTTGCGTCGATGTCTAAGGCCACGCTGCAAGATGGTGATGATACTCACTTCGCGCATCAGATAGTTGGTGGTGCAACAGGTGAACCTGCCGGACTGCTGCTGAGCGCCACCACAACCATATGGCTCCCCGGCGTGAACCCGAGGCACGTGTATGACCACCTGCGTGATGAGCAGTGCCATGGTGAATGGCGCTGCCTCCTCGGTGAGCAGCTGCATCAGGGCAATGCCTTGCCGTATGGTGCCCCCCTGAATGGTGAGACCGTGCCAGAGTTCTATCGCATGGTGAACGGGCTGCATGAAGGGCATGCTATCTCCCTGATCAGCCCCAGAGTAAGCTCCTTACTAGTTATTGTTTCCCTGTAACTATTAAGTTGCATACTTCCAGTACAGTGCAGTTTTAGCTAGAAAGAAACTTCCATTGATTGTTACTCCCTATATCCTACAGTAATACAGTCTCGAGTGCCTTTCACCAAGGAATATGTTGCTGCCAAAACTTTTTTCATCTTTGATAATTCTTGTTCAGTGAATCATTGATCACATTAAAAGTCATTAAAGTATGCTTATATAAGGATATTATAGTTTGCTCAGACACACTTTGATGAGGACTAATATTCAACTTTAATCTAGAAGATAATATCAAGTTCCTGTGACCAAAGGATTAATAATTTATGTCACGCGTAGGTGCTGCATTCATCCAAAATCCAGTTGAGGTGCCAGCGCCCATAAAAATGTATTGTTGATATATCAGTAGGACAGCAATGTGATAATCTAGACCTCCTCTGGTTTTTTCTTGAAAAGTCACTTTTGAGTCTTGACCAGTAGGATGTTTTTCGGGAAGTTGGTTTAATATTTAGCGAATTCCTTTATAAGTTCTCATAAAGAATTAACTCTTATCTGCAAAACAATTACTTTATTAATACTCTGCATCGCATGTGGTCTTTAGTTTACTAAACCCCTATTTTACACATGCAGGAAATGGGTGGTAACATAAGCAACACTCTGCTCCTGCAAGAGGCAAGAACTGATCTTTCTGGCTCCCTCATAGTTTACGCCAGGACAGATGTGAACACCGTGCATTCCATCATGAACAGTGGCCTCAACCCTGCCACCGTCTTCCTCGTATCCTCTGGATGTGCCATTCTTCCTGATTGCCTGGAATCATTCCCTCTACACCCAGCTGCAACTGCAGATCAGGCCGGCACCTCCAGTGCCGCTATCGCTAGCAGGAGCGAAACCGGTGGGTCATTCGTCACCGTCACTTACCAGATGTTTTTCAGCAGCCAAGGTGGCGCAGCACCTGCCAGCTCATCAATTCATCAAGGCCGTGATGCGCTCAAGAAAGCCACCGACATTTTCAAGGTGGTCCTCGACACTCTCACCGTGGCATAGCGCAATACCCCAGGGGTAGCATTTGCATGCGAAAGTGAAATCCAGATCGAGTTAAATTTCAGTGTTTAAGACTATGTTGTTTCTGTTGTTCAGGGGATGGCTTTATCTCTGATAGACCCGTGGATCATGCTGTTTACCTTGTTTACCATTTTCAGACTATCGATTTGAAATGTTGATCAGACATTTATAATAATTGGAACTTTGAGACATCAATGTTTCTCTGGTTTCTGCTTTTTATTTTTATTTTTTTACTTTTTTGCAAAGGGAAGCCTTCAGTTTCTGCAATGGTACAATGAAAATGGTAAGTTTACGTCCAGGTTGTTTGATGATGATTGATTGATCTATTGGTGTTTCTTGTTATGTTCAGTAGTCAGACTGAGACGAGCGGCAACGCAATTTGAAAATATGAGAATTGTATCTATATGGAAGCAATCGTCATCCCACCACAATTGCTGGGGCTATCTAGTTGACAAATGAACGAAAATAATTTTTCAATCGATCAATTTTTTGTAGTCAGATCCCATATTGTTTCTGCAGAGTTTTCGGTTAGGCTGTGGTATGTATGTGGTTAATGTCTGTTTAGAAACTTATTTATGGCACATATATCTTCCAGATAGAGAGTTGCTATCTTGTTCTATTATTATTGTATACGTGAAGTTTCTTTGGACTTTTGGCCTCCCAATTCTTGCTGTTCCTTTGAGGCATAGAAAAAAAAAAGATAAAGTCCATCTTACTCCTCAAATTTAAAGCCTATTTTTCACTCCTAACTTTTGGAACCGGAATATAGCCTAAATCATAGTGATTTTCGCTATCATTAACTTCAATTATATAAGTGTTGTTGTTGTAGACCTTTGAGTAACTTTTGCATCGACAAAAACATGTATAGCGGACGGTCCATAACCACCTTCGATTAAATAGCAGACAATTAATATGAACTAATAGAGCAATTAAATTAGTAGTCTTGTTTTCAATTAAACTATGATTTTTTAATTTACAGTTATTCAACCTATAATCTTTACAATTATTGATTATAACTTCATGAAACAAATGTTAATAAAATTTATTATCTAAAAAACTAATTGTGCAATCGTATAAGCCCAATTTCATGTCCTCTTAGAACAAGTTTAATAGTAGAGCTAACTAATAGCTATAAGTTAATCTAAAAGTTAACATATATAATAGATTAGCTATAAAAGCAAGTTTAATAGTAGATATGTTACTCAATGTTAAAATCAATATTGATTCAAAGGAACCATAGGAATTTTGAAGGATTTTATTCTTGTAGGATTTTTTTTCCTATATACCCCTTTAAATTAAAGGAATGAATCATATTGAATACTATGAAATTTCTACAGAATAACTCATTACATACAAGTTTTCGAGGAAATTAAACATGAGGTAGAACCTCATGGAAAGTTATCTTTGAGTCTTTATTTCTTCTCAAATTCCTGTGTTTTTTCCTACGGTCTAATCAACCGGTCATTCCTTTAAGTTTTTATTTTTTTCCATTCCTACGATTTAAAGGAATAATGTATTGGTCTTGGAACATATGTAAAGCTAGCTTTTGCATGAGAGCTAACAGTCTAACACCTTTTTTTTTGTTTTCTCTTTTATCCACATAAGTTTTTATAGTTGGTTTATAGTTCACTATTATCTTTGTTCTGTGGTTATCTCTATTTTCTCTCTATATATAAATAATGCATTTGCTTAGAAGAACGTACTCCCTCCGTTTCACAATGTAAGACTTTCTAGCATTACCCACATACATATAGATGTTAATGAATCTAAACATATACACATGTCTAGATTCATTAACATCTAAATGAATGTGAGCAACGCTAGAAAGTCTTACATTGTGAAACGGAGGAAGTATATAGCTAGCTAGCTCCTGTATGAAAGGTAGCACTCACTATTTTTTTTCTCAACTCCAGGTAAGCATGCTATTGAACTTGCTCTTAGGTAAAAATCGACAACCATAAAAACCGCCTGGCTTTTCTCTGGTTTTTCGGGTCTTTTTTTTTTTTTTGCTAGAGCTACTAGGCTCTCCGTCCTCCGATCCTCCATCCATTTCTCCTCTCTCTCTCTCTCTATCCATTTCCTATCTACCGCCTCCGGGCGAGATTGCCTTCCCACGGGCACAACCTCCTCTCCAGTGCGGCGGGGGCCTCCACGGGGCGCGTAGGTCTGTGGGAGGAGGCGACATGGAGGCTGACTTCTCCTGCAAGTAGTGCCACCTACCTCCATCTCTGCTGCAATCGAGCTCAAGGTACTCAAGGTACTCCTCATTCTCCCCTCGTTTCCGCGGCAGTTCATCAGCCGCACTTGAGCATATTGGAAATGTATCCCAAATTGAATCCCCTTGGGATAGAAAAAGAAGAAACAAAAGGGAAAAGAGAGAGAAGTTTTTAATCGGTTTACCTGGTGTCAATTCATATTTGTTGTGTGTTGTTAATTGTTATGAATTAAAGTATCTGCGAGAATTGGAGTATTTTTTTTAGTTTGAATAAGTGGTGGACGTAGGATTTTATAAATGGGGGTACGATAAACTAATTTATTTATAAAACTGTTTGATGAAAACAAAACAACAAACACATGGAAAATAGGGAAACCTTATATTTTATTAATCATGATTCATTAACATGAATGTTTATAGATACATGGGGGCTCCCGTAGGAATTCGCCTTTTGCCTTCGTGAGGAATGCTTAATAAAAAGGTATGCTGACTGGAGATTGCTTGTAGTCCGTTGATTCCCAGCGCCTAGTAATGAGGCTACCGGTTAATTTCATCCATAGAACGAGCCTATGGAACACCTCCGATTAAGCTGTGCTTGTGATCGTCGTCTTCAGAATTATTTGCTCACCGAGGGTTGAGGTTGGTGCAAATTTAATGGTGAATATAGTGAATGTGGAACGGGTGGCTTTGTTTCGCCAAAACCTGGTCACGGTACACTACCATCACGTCGGCGTGAAGAGGGAATTTGGTGAAGCGGGGTGACCTTTGCCTCATCGGTGCCCAGTCATGAACCCTGCCTTCATCAAACATAGATTTTGTGGGTGCTTTTGCCTCGTTGGTGCTTAGCAACGGTGTCTCCGATTCCCATCCATTTTAGACGTGTTAATAGTATAGTGACCTAGCCTTGTTGGCTCTATAGTTTCGTCTAGCCTCGTCGGTCATAGACAGATGGAATGAGTGAATGGCTAGAGCGTTGTTAGCTTTTAGCCAACATGTCGTCCAGCCTTGGACGCAACGCCTTCGTAGTTGGTGTATGCATGAGTCAAGAACAGCTCCCGTGCATATGCATGGGTCAAAATATATTTTAATTATGAAAACAACGCTTAGATAGTCCGATCGTATGAGGGCCGGACATATCTAGTACCATTGTTATTGGTATCATAGTAATTGATAGACGATCCGATCTCTAATGAGGGCTAGACGCCTAATTTTAATCATAGAAAATATCAAATGGCACTTAGATGATCCGATCGCCAATGAGGGCCAGACCAGCCTAATACCATTGATTATATAAATGCAGTCTGATCATAGCCGTGTTTCGGCTCTCATCGATCTGACTTTAATCATGGTGACAGATTAAGAACACGTAGATGTCCAATCGCCAATGAGGGCCGAACATCGTGTTTAATCTAAAAGATTAATATTTATTCAATGTACCCACCGTCCAGCGCAAATATCCTGAACGGTGGCATGTTGTGGATAAATAAACCAACTTGACAAAGGACGCCGGCTGTGGTGTTTAATTTTATCCGCAATGGCGCAGGTTCTGCTATCACCGGCAGGCTTCGATCTTTTGATTTTCCTAATCCACCAACAATCAGAGAGATGAGACGAATGAAAATAATAGTTGGGTGCCTCCTGTGGCGTCTTCCACGTCTCCGGCTCGAGATGGGGTCTGCGCCTTTTATATAGAGGCAGAGGCGACGGCGGCCTCGCCTAATCACAGCGAATGTGTTAATCTACCGACCTGCTGCAGATAAAGAAAGTCATGTGCATTGCTGATTAGATGATCATGGGATTAATGATGCTTATGACAGGTGGGTCCCATGCATCACACGCGTTTGCCGATGTTTATCTCCTAGTTACAGATAATAACCATGTGCTTAACTTTAGCGACAAACAAAAACAACATACTGCATGCTAGCTAGTACTAGTTAATCTCTTCTCTTTTCAAGCGCATATCTCTTCAATTGTGCATTAAATTTAAATTCTATTTGAACCATTATTTTCTGTTTGAAATATACAACAAAACAAGTCCAATATTGATTATATTTGGACATCGTGTGATATTTGAATCTTCCGGGTCCACACGTCACAGAGACACGCCTCATATGTATTCAGTAAAATTGGGCTGCAAATAATATTCTCATATAAAATTAAATACCCAATAATTTATTATATTTTCTATGATTTTTAGAAAAAAAATTCATCAAACAAAAATAATAAATTATCTAATTATTATATAATATTATTTCTAAAGAAATGTAAAAGATCCGATACATCATAAAGAACCAGACTAGAAATAAACTAAATCTTATTTTTATATGTAGATGTCATTGTAATGCATAGGCATGTAACTGGTAAATAGTGAATTTCACAACTCACTTGAACAATATATATAGTGCATTATGATCATTGGATTCATTACAAGTGTTGATCACTAGTTCATCCAAAAAAAATTATATGACTATATCGTTTAATATTAATAACCTTTATAGCATTCTAGATTATATTTAGCAAAAATATATTTCTCTTAAAAAACCTAGTCATGTACCTTTTATAAATACAATATCATTAAATTTCCTCATGTAAAAACATAGATAATATATATTACGGAGCACACACACATGAGCTAGCTTGCTTAGTATTCATATGCAAGTAATAGTGTTGGCTGTAGCAATATTATAATAAAAAATAAATAAGAATGAGAAAACAAGAAGAAGATGGAACAACAGAAGAATATAAGGTTAAAGTTTTTAGTTTCACACCATTTACTACAATGAACAATTTTAATACTATTAGTATATTATCGATTAATGTGTGTATATATCATACCATGGATGTGAGCAACCACCCTCATGTGTTTGGGCTAGTGACTAACCTCCTCTTTTTCTTACTTCTTTCGAAGTTCTCTGAACGTATTTAGGTAAAAGATGTTTTGGTTTCAATAAAAAAGAAACAATTTAACTAGATTATTTTT